TATTTATACATTTTATTTCGGCCCTTGATGACACGGTCACATCACAGCAGTGCGTTTGTGTAAAAATGACAGGTTTAGGAAACTCTAGTCAAGAGAATAGACAGTCTTGTCATTAAGTGGTTAGGTTTCTATGAAGATTTCCACACCCTTTTACTTTCAAAACTGTTCAAATGCTTCAAAAGTTACAACTTTAATTAACACAACTGTGACCCAAGGTCTATTTCAATCTCATTGGTTCATTGACACATCTACAATCATGCATTAAAATGATATTCATCTGCAACCAACTGATCAACTCTAAAATTGAAAATTTAAGGCAATAAAGCAAAAAAAAAATAATAATAATAATAAAAGTAAACTAGAAACTGAAAACTGGACGGAAAGCTGAAACAAATTATCTGCACGGATGCAGACAAAAAAGCAGAAAAAAAGCAGAAACAGAGCGGTGTGCGCAACAGAATACACAAAATACACAAGGCAATATGGGAATGCTTAGGTACATAAAGTGTGTAAAAAATAAATAAGATACATATATATTTATGCAAAATTAATGTGATGTGTTATCCAGTTGACTTGACAACGGGTGATCAATACTGTCAATGCACACATTTCATGTGACTGCATTTTCATAACAACTGAGTGTGGAATACCTTAATAATAACTACCAGAAGAGCTAAATAGTCATTGTTTATTGATTAGGTACCAACAAACAATAGCAAATATGTCAGTTTATGTTTGTGAGATCATTTTTTAGGCTGAATGCCTCTTAAGCTGTTTCATCTCAATAAGCCTTTTGCGAGTTAACTTTGACCCAAATCTGGTACAATGAGTTCTTTAAATTCACGTAACATAACTTTAATTCTCCATACTAAAACCACTCTTGCTATACCTCGTGATTCGGGGCAAGCTTTTGCATAGTTACATAAGAGGCGCCTTGCAACAATACACTGTTCTCAATGGAAAAGAAGGGCACAAAGGAACCAGTCCATTCCAGAGAATGTGGTCGCTATGCAACAGCTTGCCCCCAATCACGAGGTATAGCAACAGTGTCTTTAGTCTGGGGAATTTTAATCGTTATGTTTATGTGCAGTCTGATAACTCAGTGTACCAGGTTTTATTCAAATTTAACTCACAAATGGCTTATTTCAGATTGTGCAGAGGACATGTATGCATTAATTCCACACTCATTTCTGCTATTTTTATTAGTGATGTAACGTTTGCGAAATTGAAAACACAAATTTTCTTAGTTTTGGTACATGTACATGCATATGAATCCACTCATCAAAAACCTGTGAAAAAGCCTGAAATTTTATTGTGTTTTTTTGCTTTTAGAAAGCACTTTGCAAAATTTGATGCGCTTGGCATGTTTTCCTGATCATCATTATGGTCCATATAATTAGAGGGTGTGAGTGGCCACTAAAAATTAAAGCTGAAAACAGCCAAAAAGGTGAAATGTAAAAAGTTCCCACACTTTTGTACAAACTGGGTGTACAAAAAGCTGAAATTCAGGGTGTTGACCCTGAATTTCAGCAAAAAGTGAAATCAGCTTAAAAGCTGAATTCTCACCCCCGTTATTAGGATATACATGAGACTTATTCTGGTTGTATCAAAACTGCATGTGAATATTGAAGGCTCTGGTGTTGCAAGGCATAACAGCAAGTATCCTCCAATTCTATTCTGAGCACTAGCATGTTTTGCTTACAAAGGAACGTGTTAATGGCCGAAGCATATATCTATATCCACATGACCAATTCTTTATAGGTGGTTTTTTTTGGGGGGGGGGGGACAGGACTGGCCCTAATCTTCCTTTTTTTAAAGCTTTGACCGTCTGGTGTTATCAATTGGACACAGTGTTCTGTCTAAAGTCTTCAAGAGGGAAAAATGATATAACTCAAAACCGACAACTGAAATTATGTAGAATCTTTGTTGGATTCAACATTAAAGGTTGCCATGAAGATGACTCTTTTTTCTCTGGAACTTATGCCTCACGGTGACCCAATGTAGACGTATGGGTGAGGGATCCCCATACCTTGGGAATATTTCATATCTAATGGGATCAGGTCAAGAGCCCCAAACTTGCCAAGATTCATGAAGTGAAAATCAACAGAAATTAAATTAATGCATGAAAACGTGAGGGTTGTTTTAATATTTCATATCTAATGGGATCAGGTCGAGAGCCCCAAACTTGCCAAGATTCATGAAGTGAAAATCAACAGAAATTAAATTAATGCATGAAAACGTGAGGGTTGTTTAGTGGGCACTTTTCAAGGGATATCAAGGACTTTGGGCTGACATACTGTGCTTATTTTTTTGGCTTTTTGTGCTGAGAACACATTCTTGCTTTTTTGTGCTTACAACAGTTAAGCAAATATTCCTCTCAGCTCTGTATGCTATAAATACTGACCCATGAGATGACATCATGGTCTTAATATAAGCTTCTTGCACTTTCTAAATAAAGCATACCTAACATCTCATGTTATTTGCAACGAGTTCAGAACTTAAATGTTTTCCTTGCATATATTTCGTCTTAAATTTAACCAGCAACAGCATCTGCTCATTTAGTACTTGAAGATGCACAGGACTGCTTTATCATTTCTTTTAATAAGAATTCAACGAGGCTTATTTACATTACTTAATTTACAAAAGGCCAATTGTTGACACAGTGACACACATATCCTGCCTCAGCAAGACAAAGATTGCTTCCACGCCATATACACACACTAAGAACACAGACATTTACATATCGATTTCTTTCGGTTTAGAACTGTACAAGTTTTCATGCATACTATTGAATCAAAAGTCACATACAGTACGGTACAACACCGATATCTGCCCCAAGCTGAAGTGCACCCCCAATTGGTGAAAAGAAAGACAGGTGGTTACAAGCGGGTTCTTCACGTGTTCACGTGGAGTAAATTAGTTAAGCGTACTTGGCTTTAAATGCGCATATACTGCGTGGTTACGCAAAGACCATTCACGCCGGAGTAAATTAGTTAAGCGTACTCGGCATTAAACGCGCATATACTGCGTGGTTACGCAAAGACTATTCATGCTGGAGTAAATTAGTTAAGAGTACTCGGCGTTAATAGCGCATATACTTGGCCCCTCATGGTGCACTTATGTGGTGAGTACCAAAACACCATGCCCTCTTTTGTTCCGCTAGGAGCGGATAAGAAACAACAATGGGGTCTACACAACATGTTTGGTATGGGGAGGTTTCAATCACCGATGTTGCCGTTCCCGCCTCTCACTAGTTCAGACAAGTGGTTGCCTGCTTCAAGCATGTGGCTGCATGAGGATTTTGGGCTACTTCCAATGCAAAAAAAGTTGAGGAAATAAAAAAAAAAAGCAAACTTCTTCCATTTTGTTCACTGTATGTTCTTTTCATTCCATGTCACCTTTTGGGCAGTTCTCAATGAAGTCCAATCTTGAGGTGAAATCGGCCTCTTCATGAATCATAGCTAAAAAAACTGCATGTCACATGGAGCACATGTATGTTTATGATTACATTGGTTCCTGGTGATACATTGGAACTATAGAGAGGATAGAAGCCATTCCATAGCACTTGAGCCACAATGGTAGGCCTACATGTCAGAGGTCAGCAACTCAAGAAATGACAGCTCAGGAAAGCATTGTTGAAAATGAGACTAGCGTAACATGTAACGCAGATTTCAGTGACTAAAATCACAACAGCCACTCTGTCAGTCATTCATTCAACTATTTGTTGTTCTGATGATTTTCTCTGGAGGTAACTATAAATATCCTTGCCTTTATAGCAATGGCGCAAAGCATAACTTTCCACATAAAGAGTTGGCCATGGTGCATGTACTCCGTGGGCCCTACCCATTCATGTTCATTATTATCCATGAATAAAACTCACAATGGTACATGTTTCCCAAGAGTCTCCTTCACCCATGAGCCAATATCATCAGTCCTAAATATATCTCTTTTATTGAAAGCCAAGGGAAATGTTCGGCATAACTGATCCTTCAGTGCAGTGGTACTTTGTACATGTATATTAGTGTTGTTCTGTATCTAAGCAACAAGGGCTCCAAATGCTTTAGTTTTTGCCCCAACAAAAATATTTGTTTGCCCGACAAGCGGCGACGCGACACATATTGTGTGTACTTGGTGGCTAATGTTTTACATTAATATGGCAGGAATTTCCCTTACGGCTATTTTAGACAGCAGCATTCGAGCCAATTTCTTAGCTTTAACAAAAGGGTCCCACTTTTCCAGGGGACTTGCCGAATTGTTGTCTACACTTTCATACCCCATGCAAATCCAACCCTGGATAGACGTGGAAATTAGATTTTTTTTCCCCCAACATAAATGAAAATGGACAGGCAGTGTCTGCATGGAAATCAGGTCATCAAAACAGAAAAGGACAATGAAACCAATGGTGATGGAATGATGTGAACAGTCTCCAGGAATGTGCTATTCAGACTGCATTAAGACGAACCAATCTTTTTTCCATCCATGTGCATCAGTAGCCTCTGGCCACGTAGCAGTACTTGTTCTAATCCAGCAACTTAGGAGCTTTTCCAAAACGGTACTATCAAATGGTACAATAATGGACAAGCACAACAGCTGTGGTATTTGGTAATATACTACTTTTGTCCACATAAATGTGACTCACTCTGCAAAAAAGGGTAATAAGTCGCACAATTCCAAAATATGTTATGGCCTGTTCTATTTGGAGAGGGAAAAATGTCTTCAAAAATGTGACTTGGTGTTTTTCCTCTATTAGCTTGTATAATATTTATATTTTCAGAATTTGTGACTACAAACATGGATACTGATGAATAAAGATGAAAAATTGATCATTCAGCAGGAAATCCTACATAGCATTGTGTTTCCAAGTGCTACACTTTCTGAGCTTTTATCGAAAAGTGCTTTTATTTAATCCGAAAATGTGGATATACAAATGTCTAAATATCTCTGGAACGCAGTGCACTACGAGGGTCATTCATACATCAAATTGTAGCTTTTGATGTACTCAATCCAGCCATATCAAAAACTGATAACCAGAATCTGGCGACTTATTACCCATTTTTCTAGAGCCGGTCACATATGCTGTTTGGAAAGCATATGCTACCACATGTGTTTAAATTATTATGTTGAGATGTTTTTCCTGAACAGAACCATGAGGATTTCTCAGAGAGAGAGAGAGAACTTTGACCACATATCTTGTTTCACAGTACTTTTATGCTTGCCCTAGTACTCGGTTGGGAAGGCATTGTTATTACTTAGTACCTCCATATATTTGGAGAAAAGTAAAACACAGAATTTAACGATCTACCGAGGGCAGCAAGTAACAACTTGCCTTCAATTATGAATGAACTGCCACACTGGGCGCAGCTCTGGTTGAACTGACTGGGATGGGGTGGGGTTTGTGGATATTTGGAGGGGGTTGTTGGCTCCCTTATGGTGCAGGGGGCCTCTTGATGTTCTTACTGGCCTTCTCTTCTTCCTGAAGCTGTCGTCGGAAGTTGTTGATCCTGTCCCGTAGTGTGGTCATCAAGTCAATCTTCTTGGTCAGGATCTCGTCCAGCTTGGCAGAATAATCTGTACCGGACGGAGGGCAGAAAAAAATACCAAAGTCATGAGGATCTCTTCGTTAGTTTGCCACATCGTGAACTGGAAGGAAGGTTCAGCAAACTTCATTGACTAGTCCATACTGAGCAGGCGGATTACCAGGGTTTTACCTTCCAATTCCAAAATAGAATTTCAGTCCTGTTTAGGTTGAATTACAAAATGAGGCTACGCCAACACCAGTAAAGATAATAACGGACTTTGGAGTGTTTTTGATACACATCTAGGACTTTTATCATCTATTTCCACTGTTCCAATTTGGCATTTTCAAACCAGTTTGCCTCTCATTTTGCTTCTATCAGCATCCTGATTTTGCTTTTAAATTCTCTGCCCACTGCATTCAGCTAGTTTACATTGTGTTTGAACTGGGCTATGCTTTGGACATCTGGAGAACAAGATACAGAAAGAGAATTCCAGGCCAGAGTAATACTTGCAAAGAAACTAGGATGCATCTTGCTATTGCCTTCAAAGATATTTGCTAGGTTTTAAGGACTCCCTCTTATGGCTGTCAAAAGACCGGCAGTTTGTTAAAAAAACCAGAGGCCAAGAACCCCACGTGAATGGCTGTCAGTTAACATACCTTCTACATCATAGTCTACTTCATCAGTCATCTCTATCAACCTGACCTCCTCTGCTGCTAGCCGCTGGGTTTCCTAGAAGGAATTCAATTTTTTAAAAACGGGGACAAATAAAACTTGGAAGACTGGCTTGGAGGAAACATTTGTGAATAGACACATAAAAACATCTTATATGGCTCTGAAAACAAAACCACTACTTTGAAAAAAAAGGAAGAGGATGATCGAGCTTCACTGAAACCATCTTAGTGGCTCATGACTCGAATCAAATTAAGTGACTTAGGAATCGGATGCACATCAAGTAACTCGGGATTCAGACCTGATCCAAGAGACTCAGACCTCAGACTCAGTCAAGTGACTCAGAGATCAGACTCAAACCAAGTAACTAAGCATTCACACCTAAACCAAGTGAAACAGACCTCAAATTCAAATAAAGTGACTCATAACTCAGACTCGAATCATAAGACTCAGATTCAAGGTAAGTTACTCACAACTCAGACTTTACTCAAATGACTCAAGAGCCACCAGAGGTCTGATAATGGCTAGCAGGAGAACCAGAAACCAGCAGTGTTTACCTCTAGGCATGTGCGATGGTCATCAATGATTTGTTCCTCCATCTCTTGAAGTTGGTTCATCACTTCATGAAATGTAAACATCTCGGCAGACACTTCCTCTTCCTACCAATTAAAAACAAAACAAACAAACAAACAAACACTGCAAATAGTCGGCTCAAATACTGAAGGTTCCATATGTCCTCATTGAGATCATTGCAAATATGAAGTGTAAGTAATATACAGCACTGGAAAGCAATTTCAAAAAACCTGGTGGGTATGTGCACGTCCAGCAAGACTTGATGATGTTCGTTTTGGGAAAAAACAGCCTAGAGGATGCATGCAAAATCAGAAGGGAACGACAAAAACAAAGAAAGATGTGTCTTCAATTTTGGACTGCACAGTATCAGAGAATCTTTTATGCCCAGACTAATATTTGCTGACCATAATTTTTTCTCCTTTTCAATTGTTTGAAAATTCCACATTATCAACTTGTCTACCACTACACCACAGACTTGTGTGCATTAACTGCTTGGATCTTGCCAAAATCAAACAGTCAAATCATAATGCGTACACGTGTAGATTGAATTAATGAGCGTGGCCGACTGGCTCATGAAGTAACGCTAAAAATCTCTCATCCAAGTTTTTAACTAGACCGCCATTTTCTGAAAGAAGATCACACAGCAACGGTTAGCTCGACAGACCAAGAAGAGTAATATGGTGCAGTACTCACATTGTGGGTGCAGAGCATAGCCAAGTCACTATTACTAGGTGACAGGCATTCAGGGAGCTTCTCTGGACTGGATGGCAAGGCACTGATCTCTCCTGGGTAGTCACCTGCCCCTGGGCTACCTCCTGGTCCAAGCTCTTTCACCCTACAGGTTCAAATTATTACAATCCATTCATCGATCATAGGAAACGATTCACAATGCACAGCACTACCGGGCGTTATTATCTTGGTCACTTTCCCACTTCCATGGTCAGAACTTTAAGGTTTAATTGTTCTTAATTGTTGGCATTCAACAATACTGTAGAAACTGCCTCTGCCACATCCATCCACACTGATAGTAACTCCAGTCAAGTTCCCAGTTGTATGTAAATAGCAGTATAGCAGTGTTAGTGAATCTGTGTTACCAGACAATATATTTCCCAAATCTCAAAGGAAATATTTTTCTCACGGATGCATGTACAACTAATGCTGAAGAGAGATATCCCCATCAAAGCTTAGACATTAATATTAAAATTTTCCCTCAACGTCACATTACTGAAAAAATAGGGCTAATGGAAGACCAACTTTACCTAAAAAAATGAAAATACATCAATCATATGCAGTGGCTTGCTTCAGTGTGGTATGTGCACCAATACAGGTAGCCACAGGCAAGATCATTCATGCATGTCACACTGGTGAGGATACGAAGTCCTAGCGTTGTAGTCACATGCTTTTCAAGTACCAAGTTCATTTTCAATCACTAAACTGGTTAAAGGAAACAAATTCAGAGCACAATGGATATCTGAATATTTAAATGGCTTCAGACACTCCAAGGTTTGTCAAACCTAGGTGTTAACAAGAGACTAAATCCCTTTCAGCTGGTTTCCTACAGTAAATGAAACGTCCGATCTTCCTTACCTGTCTGCATAGCGTAACGTATTGAGTGTGTGTTCACATGAGCTCATGCCTGGTGATATCATTGCAATCTGTACACCAAGATAATGAATTAAATCAATGTGACCGTGTGCATTTTCACACCAACTACTATGAAAATCTGAGCAGTTTTATATAATTCAAGCAAGCAAACTATCTCACTGAAATTCAAATCTGTATCAAAATCAAGCAGGTAATGCACAGCTGAAATTCGTACCACTCATAAGCAATGAGCATTACATAACATTGTCTACTGATGCAACTGTTTCATGTCAATTCTCTGTCAAACCTTACACAGCTCAACAGATGACGCTGAGAAAATGAGAACATATGAGACCCCTCACGCCAAAACCAGGTTCTTTTTTGGATGGAAAGGTTTTTACTCCATCCATTGATCTGAAGTTAACTGAATAAATCTGGTCTATGAAATTATATACACACAGAGCAAAAATCAGACAGTATTTTAATATTATGACTGATTTATTCTTTTTTCTGTTTTTTTTTTTTGGTTTCAGCTGAACGCTGGTTTTCTGCAAGGAAAGGAAGGTTATGCTATTAGACAGATAAAACACCAAACTATCTTATTAACATGCAGAGGGTATTTTGTGGTGTGCAAGGACAAGAATGTCCATGTACATGTACCGTAATTTTTGGAATATAAGCCGCAGCATATATGCTGATTTTCATGCTGAAAAATGTCCCTGCGGCTTATACTCTGGGTGTCTTATACAGCAACATCTGAAGAATGACGTCAGTCACTAAATGCCACACGATGCCGCACTGCACCATGCCTCGGCACAGCCTAGTCCGAACTACTGACCACACCAGCTGGCAGGCCAGCTACACTCGCAAGATGTACGGCAATCAAGGGAAAAGGCAACCTTGTTTTCATTGGTTGCCGTTTACCTTCGCTCCACTCACGTATTGGACGCAAAGGAAACCAGTCCAGAGAGACAGAATAGACTTAAAAATGTACCATACGTACTGTTTACACATCACAAATTGCGTGTGTGGTTTTGTTTTTTATGGTTGTGTAATACATGTTGTTTATTATTCCACTGGTCATTTGTGGAGTGTTAAAAACAAAAGAACAAACAGAACTCCTGCACGGCCCACCCAGCAATTACACAAATCCGGCCTGCTAAAATTGGTAATTTTGAGGACTTGAGAAAGTTTGTTTAACAGTAACACTTGTTCGCATGCTGCTTACACTTGAAGACTGCATACCAAAAAATGGCAGGGACCCAAGTTGGCACTTCAAAATGTTGCCTTAAACATTACTGTGTTATTGGAGCAATATTTTACCTAAAATTTCACAAAATGTGAAGTTCAATCAAACTCCTAATATTCTGATCCATAAATGTCGATTTCACATACCGGCTACAAATTTCCAAAGAAATTTTATTTCGCCCAGGTTTCCAATTTTTTCCAAAGTGCGAAATGAAATCTTTTAAAATGCATTCCAAATAATTTTTTTAATTTTCTAATGTTTGAATTTCGGACGAAATTCTATGACACTGGAATTGTTCACAGAGGTTTCAAAACCTGCATCATGGAGGCAATAGTACCATTATTTAACCAAGTGGATTTGAAATTTTTCAATTAAGAGGTTCGGCAGCACTTTATAAAGAAAGTTGAATGGTACTCACATAATACTCTACACGTAGCTGTGCTTCAGTAATGCAGCACGTGTAATGACTTGTCAGCACCGTGGTGTGGCTAGTACACAGACTTTAATCTTAACCCTAACACTCCTCAGTCCTTCAACAGGTGAAGGATTGAGGAGGGTTAGGGTTAATTTGCAGATTTTTGCTTGGTGCGGCTTATAGTCCGCCCAGCCTATATACTAAAAATTACAATATTACTATACTCACCATACATGTTTTGGCATTATCTCCAATGAACGAATCCCTCAGTACCTGGGTGAGTTTACTGGCTCTGAAGGGGACATGTGCCCCCTTGTGGCCTAGAGATCGGATGCATTCCTTAAGGGCCAGTAAACTCTTGTTGATCTCTGCCCCTTCCATACGCGTCTGCCGGTTAGAGCTCTGGGTGTCCTTCCCTCTCTCGTTACCTGCAGGATGTTAAGAGAGGATTAACCACACTGACCAAGGCGGAATTCAAACCTCTGACTTTTCTGGAAACGTGACGGTGCCAAACTGACTATTAAAGTGATCTCCTTATGGACTTGTCACTGAATGCAAGACCGACAGTTTGAAACTGAGCATTTTAGACTAAGACATGTGAACAACAGCAAACCACACAATATGCGCCGACACGAAGCACCTCCCTTACTATTAAATAAAGGCCAGGTTGATGGCAATGGTGGGAATGATTTCATCTTGGTGCCCAGCGTATGCACAGAGATGTACATGCTAGCATAACGTGTTCACACATGATCCTTGCATCCCACGCCAAATGTGTATAATCTGTGCGCACATACGCAATACATTCCCAACAAAGGACTGTCGGTGTTATGTGAAAGTATGCCATCTCTTTTTCCCACACAGAATGGATACTCTCCATGGTGACAAATCAACACACTGGCGATAATTTCAGCATGCGGGTGATCCACGGGTATTCTCCACATCTTACAGGTGCAGCAGTGACTACATCCGGACAGGTTGATTCATGGGGAAAATAATATCTGAACCGGATGCAAGGACTAGAGTAGAAAAAGGGCACTGGCAACGTAGGTAAACAGTGGTCAGAGCATTACGCTAAAGACTGTGAAGGGGACCCGTACTTCACATATTTGTGCTGCTATGTTTGTGAAGGGCATGCAGAACCAGACTAAATGCTTTCTCCACTATCTCCAAGCAAATTTGAGTCCTCAATTCTGATTGGTTGATCCATAGTAACAGTGTAATATACATCATATTGTACCCCAAGTATTGCGCAGTTTGAGCTCTTTGAAAAGCACCATTTTGTGATAACACAAACCATACAGCTGCAGAATTCACTGTAAGTTCAACTAAGAAACATTTGCATACCCTGTTGATCATCATATGCATTTAAAGGTGCGCACACTTTTTTTTGGTGTGCTCAACGTACATGCATATATTCCGTCTTTACTGTGCGTCCTCTTTGCTTGAAGATATAATTTATCATTACAATCATGCTTGTGGGAACTCCAAGGAAATTTACATACAGTACCTGTCAGGATCAGTGTTTAATGAAAATACCAGTTGGATATGACTGTTAATGTGAAAGTCAATTTTTTGACACCAATAAAAAAACATTACCCGCAAGGTCTATGAGGGAGAATTTGCCATAAAGTCTGCTGGCTTTCCTCGTCCTTAGAATGATCTGGAATACAGCGTGGGATCTGGAAGAATGATTATTAGCCGAGGTCTGTCCTGACGTCCTGTCAAGAGGAAAGGAATTGCATAAAGGCATGTTATTTACCCTCTCTCATGAAACGGTTGTCTTTTAGTGACCAACAATTCTGCCTTGACTGACTGATTGTTGCTTTTCTATTGCAGACTGATCTTCTTTCCAATTTCATTTGAATTTTCATTTTCTAATTTTCCAACAAAATCCTTGCAGGGTCTCAACAGGCCTCGAATTTCCTGACAGCCACGGCCATCGGTTTCCTCCCATTTGGCCGTGGTGCCTCCGAAAAATGATTGTGTTTTACCGCCAAGATGGCAGTGCCCTTTTTTCTCTTGGCCGTAGTGCCTTACACATGCATATTGACTGCTCCTGTTCAGCGAGGTACACGGAAAGCGGCATGCACATCGTTTCTACATTGCTCACATTCGACCGGAACACTGCGTCACCCAAATGCATGGCATGCATGCATATGCAGGGTGCGTGCACTGTTTGTACATGGGAACATGTACACTCAGCCTGCCGCACATCGGCGGCCCGACCCGCTCCATGCACACTGCTAGATCGCCAGCGCAGCACAGGCGACACCCGCCGGCCTATCCAACGACTTAACATAACAGCGCATGCCCATGCCAAGTATTCTAGTATACCATGCAATAATGTCAGTCTAGAACAAGCGCTCATCAATGTGTACGTGTTCACGGTATATCGAGAGCTCCATGTTTTTCATGCACACGGGACAATTGTATGGTTGTGGCAGTATTTTAACTAACACCGCAATATAGTGTTTGCTGTTTAGTGCAATGTGCCGCGCGCGATCCGAACTGTACATTCATGACATTGGTCGATCGGGACTACCCTGATTCTCACGTACGTTGTTGTGTGAAATATCACTGGCCTGGCCAGTTTTTGTGGTATTCAAAATGCCGAGGTATAATGCGGGTCAGGTATAATGCGGGTCAGGTATAATGCGGGTCAGGTATAATGCGGGTCAGGTATAATGCGGGTCAGGTATAATGCGTATCCTACTTTTTCTTAGGCCTGAAAGAATTATATTGATTTTCATGCAATTAAAAAAAAAATTGGGATGGCATCATTGCCTTTAACTTTGATACGC